AGCAGGAACCAAATATTATTGAATTATTAATATCTCAAAATTTAGGTATTGCTTGAATCATTTCAGAAATGATACAATAGTAATTATGAGAAAAATCTGCATCAGATACCTTTCCTCAAAATATACCATAAAAATGAAAAAGATTACAAATATGCAATTCTGTGTTCAAGAGATGAATGACTCATCTTTATAAAGATAAAAGGTAAAGTTATTCTTTTTTTTATAGATAGTAATTTAAAAATTGGCCATTAAAAACTCACACTTTAAATATCCTTTTGGTCCAAAAGAAAGAGAAAGTATGAAAAATGAAATATGACATACCTAAAAAAAAATCAAAGATGCTAAAACCTTGGCCTTTGCTTGATTTTATATCTTTATATTGAAAACAGGATGTCATTTACATGGCATCAGATTTCTACACAGTTGAAAAAGCATCATTTATAAATAAAATATAGCATGGGGATATTAAATTTTGAACAAAATAAATTGTTTTGAAAAATCCATTATAATTATTCCTTCTAAAATATTCAAAGATATTTTTTCAGGGAAGTATAGTAAAAAAAGTAATTTCACATTTCAAAAGGAACAAAAACAAGCTAAATTTGAGATTTTCACACACCTTTCATAACTTTCACACATTTCTTGAAAAAATTAAACTTGAAAACTGTGAACTTTTCTGAGATTTGATATAAACAGATACAGAAAAGTGCACAAAAGCTATAAGGGTAAGGAGTATCCATTTCAGCAGAGCAAGGCAAATGAACCTGTATGATAAGATGTACAGACTGGTTTGCAATTTAGCTTAAATAAACAAACACCATCCACATATATTTATAAATATGAAAATTGAATTCAACGGTTTAAAAGCTTCCAAAGTAAAGGTAGAATATGTATAAGAACAAAAATATTTAGGTACTTATATTTAAAATCTAGAGAAAAAAATAATCAGACTTCTAATAGCTGGCATAACAAAGTCAACTTAAAGAGAATCAAATTATAAGAAAGCCATATTGCAGAACTTGAAAGGTGTTTTGGTTTTGGTTTGGTTTGGTGGTTTTGGGTTTTTTTTTTTAAGTGTAGAATATTCAGAATGTAGAAATTAAATTCTGGAAAAAATTGTGAAGTTCCAATGCAGATGGCATTAAAATAAAATAAAGCAATATTGTCAAAAAGATTGAAATACCCAAAGCTATGCTTATAAAAGATACAAGCAGTATTTTTTTTAACTATTATTATTTTTCAAATGTTCCCCCCCCCAAAAAAAAAAGCTGACCATTGCTCCATTAGACATGTTCACCTGGTTCTTTGGGCTGCTATGGAACCAGTACTTGGAAGCCAGACATCCTTCTGCACCAAAACTACATGCCAGTACACTTCTGAGAAGTGATGAAGTCCTGGGAACCCTGACCCCTTTTCATAATAGAGCTACTGAATTGCTGATAAACCAAGGAATAATCTTTTAGATGGTTACCTATGGCATGTATTATGCAGAATTCAAGACAAAAAAAGATCACATAGTTCCATCTTTACTTGCAGCAGATGAATTTATGAATTGTAGTTTATTTATCATTTTTTGTCGATCAATATATTTTCATCTTCAGTAGACTCAGCCACCACTGAAACAGCAGGGTATACTCACAGTTGTAAAGATCTTAACAATTACAATATAAAAGAGGAAAAAGATATCATTCAGAATTTCAGAAGACAGAATTAAAAATAAAAGAAAGACTGGTATCTTTAAAAGAAAAGTGTTAAAGCAAACTACAGAGAAAACTGATCAAGACTCTGTAGCTGGCAGTATACTATAGACTATTATCGAGAATTGTTAAAGTGAAAAAACAGCATAGAAGAAACACATGAACAGTTTAAATGAGATAATTGCCTTTTTTTAAAGCAATATTTTCCAGACTGAAAAAAGGAGAGTAAAGGAAGGTGATGAAAAAGAAAATAAGTTTATAGGAGCCATAGTACTTTATATTGTTCGCTTGCATTGCTGCAAAATGAATATTCAGTAATATACTTTCTGTCAAACAGAAGCGTATTTATTAAGCACAAAAAGACAGAGCTACAAAAGTAAGCTAGCACATGTGCTTTCCGTACTAGAACAATTTTTGGTTCATTTCATTATTCTGAGTACCACTCATAATATCTTCACATAGATGAAGAGTTATTGCAGTTACCAAAACTGTCACTGAACAATAACTGAAGTATAAAAGGCAGTTATTAGTGAGCAACTTGTAACACCAATTTGAAGTCCTCATATTTCTTCTATTTATTATGTCATTTAGATATGTGCAAAAGGACAGATGCTTATGAAATGCATCTAACCAAAAATTATTCCTTGGGAAAAAGTGTATCCTTGATTACAGAAAGCAGCTGCTATCATAAATCTCAGGAATCTACTTTTGTGAGCTTTACCAGTCCAAAATCAGTGCTTATTAATAGCAATGCTATTTACACTTATGCAGTTTACCTTTTCTTGAGATGATTATTTCAAACAAAATCATGCAATTGTAAGTACCACTACACAAAATCAATATGATACATACAGTATATGAACTAAAATCTCATCAATAGATAGATGTTAAAACATAATCTTGAAACACCCTAAGTTATGGAGTGTTTCTTAAGCAATCTTGCAGGGATTGATCCTTGTCCCAGTATTGTTATCACTGATCTGGAATCAAGTATACAATGACTGCTAATGAAGTGTCCAGATGATACAAAGACTGGTTGAGAACTGAGCAATGAAGTGAACAGGTCACTAACAGAGATAAGAGTATGTTCTGGAAAGCAGTAATACTAGAAAGCAATTGGGAAAAATGTGAAGCATAGTTATATATTAGTGGAATGCTTCAAGAAAAATCCTACTCAGGACATCTGGATACAATATAACAGGAGGGGGGCTGATCAACTGGAATTGTTAAGAAACCTTACTTAATAATGCCGTAGTTCTTATACATACAAAACTTGTGAAGGGCAGTGGGGAAAAAAAAGACAGGCTAATACTGTAGAAAACATGCTTTTACTTTACTATAAGAGGTTCATTTACATTTTATAAAAAAGAAACCCAAGAGATTCCATGTTTATAAATTGTAATTAATGGGACAACAGAATGTTGTGGTAAGACTGTGCTGGTCTTAAGACTTACATCTGAGTCAGCCACGTTCCAATTACATATCAGGTATGTATTTTTCAATTAATGGAATAAATGAAACAAAGGATTCAGAAGATTTTATATAATTTGTAAATATTCACATAAAACCAGACTTTACAAGTAACCAAAAAATTACCCACTGGATGAAATTATATGTCTTATGTTACATAAAAATTTAGAAGCACACTGACATTTGTATCTATGTACCTATGAAAATTAATTCTAGCTTGAAGTGTCAAAATATATGTTGGTAGGTAAAAGCTTATTAAAACATAAAACTGTTGGGAAGTGAATTATTTTTTGATACCTGAAAATTCATTATAATGGTGACAGCAGACAAACATGGCAGACACTTCTGGAAGGTTTTTCATAGAAACAACTCATTCACCACTGTGAAGTTATCAACAATGGCAATGAAAAAGAAGTCATTTCTGATTTAGTTCAAATGATTCCTCAATTAAATTTCAGGATGATTAAAAATTTCAACTTAATAATCAAGTAATAACGATGATGAAAATAAATGTTAAATATTTCATACTTTCCCTAGAGGTCATATCTTGGTGTTAGATTAGTAAATGAAAGCAATACATTTTGCTGGCTAAAATAATCAGGCCAAACCACTTTTTAAAAAAATACATTTTGTCTTTTCATACGGTGCTGAACTAAACAGCTTTGTGATAGAACCAAATATTTTAGTCAATAATAAGGAAATTGAAATTACTAATTAACTGACATAACTCTAAAATTGAGATAATTTACTTACAATTCAGATGAGAGTAAATACCCATGACTAGCATAACAACTGGAGTTCATTCATGACACAGTAATTTCTAAGCAACTGTAATGTATACTACAGACTGCTCATTACTGTTGTAATTAGTATAGTATATTCTATTAGCTTTCCTGTACAACTGTATTTCTGGAAATGCAAATATAATTGCTTACCAAGATGGTGGTAACGATTAAAGAGCGATTGGACAGGGAATCTGTGATGTTTGCTGGTTTTCCTTTCTGATTCTCTGTCATGTTAAGGCCGCTCAATGGATCCCAAGTTCCAACCTATAAAACAGTAAAATACTGTGTAAATTTTCCATTAGTTACATTTCAGCATCTAGAAAAGAACACTATAAGGAAAAACAGATTGCTACAGTTTAAAAAAAAAAAAAAAAAGCTAATATTTCTTATTAAAACCTGTTCCATTTTTCTCTGTCATTACATTTAAAGTCTGTTTAAAATATAATTCACAATACCTCAAAATGTGTTTCGTGAAGTGTGACATTAGGTGGAAAAATGATGCACAGAATATCTAAAGCTATTGTGAATACTTAATTTTCCATTTAACTTTCATTCTTCAGGATAAACCACATCTGAAGACAACTTAATAGTTAGGATTTACTATTTTCTGTGATCAGAGAGAACAGCAGAGCAAAAAGATGTTTGGAGAAAACGTAACGGAGAAGACTGAAAGTAGGTTAAGTGTAATAACTTAATTGATTTACAGATAATGTTCATAATGTACACAATTATACCTTGCAATTCTTATTCCAGTAAAGTCAATAGGATTTTTCTCTAAGTAAGGAGATCCAGGGTTATGCTTTAAGGTTCAGGTCAAGGACAGTCTCACATACTAAGTAATAAGTAATGGGGCTTATGATTACATCATTTATCTTGGATTTCATCACTATATAACTAAAATGGGCAAGCAGTAAATACAACTATCTAATTTTTGTCATCAGAATATTTGTATTACTCCATTGCCTAAAAATTTCTGTTCCACAGAAATCAGTATTTTATCTTTCTTCTTTGCATAACACTCAGTACAAGAAGTCACTCCTTTAAATGGTTGATTCTTGAATTTTGGCCATTCACTACCTCATAAACTGATGCAAGAATCATGAAGGGCAGAAAGGGGAACATGTGTGTCCCAGAAATATGATTGGAAAATAACATCTAACACATAATTTCAAAGTATTGAAACCAAAGCTTACTACCAAAAAAACCTTTCTTCATTTACTTTTTAATACTGTCTTATTTGGTGACTTGAAAGGTTTTTAGGAAATGCAAAATGTTCAGCCTTGCAGTTTGGCAACAGTTAAGAATTTATAAAAGGATTGAGAACTTTCAGTTGCAACATTCTGTTAATTATGGCAAGCACAGTGTTTCCTTTACTTCAAAGAAAGATCAAACTAGAACACAATAACAAGGAGTGACAAAGACTGGAACGTGACACTGTCCCTGCTGTTTTTTCACATAATTGAAGCTGGACCGATACCCTCTATGAGATTCAACTTCAGGTAGACAAGTAGCACAAAAATTTCTAAGGGAACTTCATCACTTTATTTGATCAATTTCAAATCCTCAAGTCATTAAATCATATACTTTAGTGCAGTTCAAATTCATAATTCAAATTTATCTTGGCAAAAGCTAACACATTTCTAATTAAAATACTTGCTCTCCTACTTTTTAGTATAATCACAGCCACAATCAAATGAATAATTATCAACTGGTAGAATTTGTGGTTTATCAAACTACATCCATCTAGAAACTTCTGTCTTGATAAATTATCACATTATTTTGCTAAATTAGATTAATTGCACTCGTATTGCTATTTTTTGTGAATCAAAAATCTAAGAAATGGTACTAAAGTCAGATGTTCCAAATAAGACATTCTTTGTATTATCTTTATTAATGAGCTCAATCTCAACAACTTATGCCACAGATTCTGATACACTATTGATATGTATAGCTCCCAAATCACACAAACATCTTCTCAAAGCTGCTTCTTCTAGAGAAAACTGTCCATACATAGTGCAGCAAATTCATCCTTTTCTATTTGCTTAAGCAGTGTTTTAATGTTAAAGTCACAGAGCAGAATTGCTAATGTGTTTTCACTAGAAAAGTTTAAATGCCAAAAATGTAGGAAAAGCAAATCAAGGTACTCCTATACATATAACTGCAATTCAAACAACTTACAATTTACTGCTACTGCATTACATTTATTTCCAATAAACTTTCAAGTTTTCTTTGAAAGGCAAGTGAGGTGTGTTGAGAACTGGTTGAATGGCAGAGCCCAGAGGGTTGTGATAAGCAGCACAGAGTCTAGTTGGAGGCCTGTATCTAGTGGTGTGCCCCAAGGGTCAGTGCTTGGTCCGATCTTATTCAAGATATTCATCAACGACCTGGACGAGGGGACAGAATGTACCCTCAGCAAGTTTGCTGATGATACAAAACCGGGAGGAGTGGCTGATACACCAGAAGGCTGCACTGCCATTCAGCAAGGTCTGTACAGGCTAGAGATTTAGGCAGAGAGAAACCTAAGGAAGCTGAACAAGGGCAAATGTAGGGTCCTGCACCTAGGGAGGAATAAGCCCGTGCACCAGTACAGGTTAGGAGCTGACCTGCTGGGAAGCAGCACTGTGGAGAAGGACCTGGGAGTCCTGGTGGACAACAAGCTGTCCATGAGCCAGCAATATGCCCTCGCGGCCACGAATGCCAGTGGTATCCTGGGGTGCATCAAGAAGACCATGGCCAGCAGGTTGAGGGAGATTATCCTCCCCCTCTACTCTGCCCTGGTGAGGCCACATCTGGAGTTCTGTGTCCAGTTCTGGGCTCCCCAGTTCAAGAAAGACAGGGAACTACTGGAGAGAGTCCAGCAGAGAGCTACAAAGATGAATGGGGGACTTGAACATCTCTCATATGAGGAAAGGCTGAGAGAGCTGGGTCTGTTTAGTCTGGGGAAGAGAAGACTGAGAGGGGATCTTATCAACGGTTATAAATATCTAAAGGGTGGATGTCTAGAGAAAGGGGCTAAACTCTTCTCAGTGGTGCCCAGCAAGAGGACAATGGGCAATGGGCACAAACTGGAACACAGGAAGTTCCATCTGAACGTGAGGGAAAACTTTACTCTGAGGGTGACAGAGCACTGGAACAGATTGCCCAGAGAGGTTGTGGAGTCTCCTTCTCTGGACATATTCAAAACCTGCCTGGATGTGATCCTGTGCAACCTGCTCTAGGTGATCCTGCTCTAGCAGGGGGATTGGACTAGATGATCTCCAGAGGTCCCTTCCAATCCCTACTGTGATTCTATGATTTCTAAAAAGTGAAACGAACTGATACTCTAATATATGCCTTAGAATGTTCACACAGTAAATACAGTCACAGGGAGGCTGTCAAGCCCTCGGTCCTCTATTCTTCCATTCAAGTCCCCTAAATGGCTAGACTAATCTGAAGTGAGCATGCCAGTCTGAACATGCCAACACTTATTATCCATAGCACAGAACCCAAACCAGGAGTTCCCATGAAGTTGACATTGTGCTCCACAGTGAGATGAAGAATGTCTGCAATACTGAGAATTAGCTCAGTGAAGAATCTCCTTATTCAAGTTGAATCAATTCCAACAAGAGCTACTAAAAGACTCATCATCGAATAGCATAGAATATTTTGTAACATGGCAATTTGGGTGCTTCTGAAGGACATAGAATACAGTTTTCTGACTACACCTGAGTGATAAATAAAACCTTCCAAGCTTCCATGTATTTAACTATTAAGCAACTATCAGGTTACTGCAGTCCTGCAGAAAGCTTGGACAGAATTTTCCATTCTTTTATTGTTGCTTTTGTAAACGACAGTTCTCTATTTTTTAGTTGGAGTATTTTTTGGGGTATTTTTGTTTGTTTGTTTGTCTGTTTTTAATAAAACAGTTTCCAGGAAAAAAAAAATCCTCAAGTAATTTGCAGTCTCTTAATTAAGTTGCATCACCTGATCTAAGACAATGGTGGCAACACAAGGAAACTTCATTATATAACTGTACGGACCAAGTCCTAAACCTGTGATCCAAATGAAAAATACATGTTTGTGATACTATCAGACATGTTACTAATAGGAAATTAACAGCAAATTAATCCTTTTTCTTTCATTGGAGATCATGACCACTGAGAGAGTCATTAGTGAAAGGCAGATAAAGAGGAAAAACTAGGAAATATGTGCTTAAACTCTGATTGTAGAGTCATCATTTTCTCTGAATTTTGTATGTATTAGAAAATTACCTGTGTCTATGAAGAGACTATCCCTTTAGACTTCAGTAAGTGGAGTTTCTGGGAGTGTTTTGGTGTAGTACTGCAATATGTTTGTCATTTTCTTGTACTCTTCCCTAGACTTCTGCAACTGGGCACTTTCACATACAGAATACTGGACTAAATGAGTCTAGGATTCTTTTCTCATGCACCACAAGAAAAGTTTGCCATTCACCTTTAGGCAGGTACACTCTGAGGTTTCCAAACATTAAATATACCACTTACTTAAACAAAACTCTTAAATAATCTTCACAATATTTGCTACTCAATAGTTCAATAGTACAATTTCAAAACTAAACCTCATCAGAAGTGTTTAAAAATAACCAGTATCGTTACTAAAGGACAGAATCCAGCAAATGCTGAAAAGAAGTTTGGCTAAAGTTCACCCAAATTTAAAATTACTTGGATTCTTTTGAGCTCAAGTATTTTGTGCATTCAGTCTCCAAAAAAAAGATCAGTACAATTGTGCTTATTTCCAAAAATATTAATTTAATTTTATAATAAAATGAAATTGGCATGATTTCTGAAGGCATAATACTCTAGAAAAAAGTACGTACCAAATAGTAAAAGCTAAGTAAAAATATCAGACCTGTTAAATCAGAATGAATAATAATTCAATTTCTGAATACTGAAAACTGCCACAATTAATATGTACAATTTTTATTTTTTTTTAATTTTATTAGGTTCATATAGTAGAATAATTAGAGATAATTATGATACATTCTTAGACATTTATCTAGGACAGAGCGTGCTGATTACAGTAACTCTTCACATAAAATTTTTATAGTCTGTTCAGAGATCTAGTAGGGATTTGAGAAGAAGAAAGCTATATCGGACTTCAGCTCAAAGTTACTAGTCTCTTCTGAAAATGTTAGATGTGTCTTTGTGACATTTAGCAATATATATCACAATAAGGACATAAGGCTTCTCAAACCTTATCAAAATTATTCTCTTTTCAAGGTTATTGATCAGTAACATTTCTGAGTTGATCTATAAATTTAAGCATAAAAGTAATTTGAAAGGCATATTCAGGCAATTTTTATAGATTGTAGTAAAAATTAAGCTTGCATACAAATAAAAAGTTCACAGGTGAATATTTAGACATAGCTATGTAAAATAAACAGAATTAGAAGAAGTGATAGCCATCTCTTATCCCATTTATTTTCAAAGATACAGCATGATCCTAGTTTCTTTCCTACAGCGCATCTAAAGTGCAAGTTTCCTCTTTAAAATAAAAATGCAATTTGTTATATAGTAAAGATCTGCTTCTAGTCATGCCAATCACAGTTCAGCAAGTTATTTATTTTTTTAAA